CCTTGCTCTATAATTAAGCCCCTCAGTTCTTTGTCTTCCCGCAGCTTCCTTCTCTGTGGAGGCACCTGCATTTCCAATGATGAGCAATCCAAGTCTCTCCTGTTTTAACAGTAAAATAACTCTTGTGATTTATTTACATCCTTCTCCTATTTCTCCATCACTTCCCTTTACTAATCATACTCATTTCTCATAATATGAATCTATTTTCTCCATCTCTACCCTCTCTTCAATCTGACTTCAAACTGGAATATTTTCCCTAAGGCATCATTAGTCTCTTAATTGCCCAAACTCCACGGATATTTTTCAGTTCTTTTCTCAGTTATGTTTTCTGTGGCATTTGATACAGCTGGCTACTTTTTCCTACTGAAACTATTTCTAATGTGTTTTCTATGACGTCATGTTCTCCTGGTTCTCTCCCTATTTCTTTACCATTCTTTCTCAGTTCCTTTCAAAAAATTCTTGTCAGAATTACCCAGGGTTTCATCTTTGATGATCTTTTCTTCTCAGTTTAAATACCACTGTTGTTTCAGCACCCTATACAATGAGCTTCTGAGTTCTCTACAGAACTACAAACTCAACATGTCCAAAATATATACCCTGCCTTTCCTCAAAATGTTCTTCCTCATATTTCTTTGATAAGCATCAGAGATCCCTTTACCTTCTCAGATACCCAAGTGAAAACTCAAAAGCCTGTTGTAATGTATTCTCTTTCTTCATCCACCATATCTAACGAATTGGCAAATCTTACTAATTTTGTCTCCAAAATTATCTCAAATCTATCCCAAAACACACCATCTTTCAGTGTGACGTATCATATTCTCTTGTCAGAATCAATATAATGGACTACTAGATGATCTCCGAGCTTCCAAGCTTACTTAAAATATGTGTCCTACCATGCTGTTACCAAAAACCTCTATCTAAAAATGAAAACCTGCGCCACATCTTCCTCCTGATGTGGATGATTTTTAGGATAAATTTCCAGCACAAAGGCACCCACAAAGTCCTTACAAGGTCCTCCATAAATGGGATCCTCCCTTTCCAGGCCTGCTGCCAATCCCATAATTTAGTACTTCATGCTCCTGTATCACTGAATTATTTGTAAACCGCTGGACACACCACATTTGTTGATGTTCTCCACTCTTCATTTCTTGCTCTCCATCCATCTGATAAATCCTACTCATCTTTCAAAACCCACGTAGGCCTCAACTTCCCTCTGAATCTCCCCCTAGGGCTCCAGGTAAAGTCAACCAGTTCCTAATCTACTGTTTCTCTATCTTTTATAAACTTTACCATTGCATTATTTCTATGTAATTATTTGTCTGAATGTTTAATCTACCAGTGAATAAATTGTAAGTTTCTCAATAGCAGACACCATTTGGCATTTATCCCTTAATCTCCAACATCTAATATAATTATCCCTACTACTTGGCATTCAGGAAATGGCGATGGAACTAAAATGAATTCATGATCCTCAGAATATACTTTTCTTTATAAATATTTTAAATATTTAAATATTTTAAATACATTTTAAATTAGAACATAGAGTTTCCAGTTCAAGATGGAGAATAAAGCTACACACTTATTTCCCCTCCTTTTCAAAATCTAACAAATATTACAATGTACAAATGAATTAAGAATTAACAGAGAATAGGAAACAGGGTCGTGAGAAAATCACATATTTTGACTAATTTTTGGAATATTGAAAGTGAAAAGAATCTACTAAAGAATAAACCAAAGGGAGCTGTACCTAGAACACAAGAGACTTTTTCTTCTTCCAAAGGTAGAGCCCTATCAGAGTGAGCAAAGAGGAGTTTTGGAAATAAAGCAAAAATCCAGGGGATTATTTGTAGGCTTGTACAAAACAATTTGTGAAGTACCCTCAATATGCCAACTCTAAAAACCATAGAATTTAACTCTAATGAAATGGATGTATGTGCCTGGGAAAGGATATGGTATCCTTAAGAGCTGGTAGAATTCCACAATAAAGCCCTCTTTATTTGGGCTTTCACAGGTTGGGGTGCATCCAGCTTAACTACCTGACTGACTTCTGCCAACTCTTTGCCAACTCACATCAAGGAAAGCTTGTATGTTGACACATACTGCAGCTTCCCAAATCTCACAATCAACCCTTCTATCCAAGAAAGAGACGTATCAGGAAACAAAATTTGACAAGACAAACACATAAGATAGCTTGCCATGTTCAATAATTTATTTATTTATTCATATTTAATAACATATAACCAAGAACCACTGTATATTTAAGAATTAAGCAACAACAGAAAAAAAAGAAAAGAGAAAAGAAAGGAGAACCAGAATTAAAGTCACCATAGGGAAAGTAAAGAGAAAAAGAGAATTTTGAAAAACTATTACTATATCCTTGGAGAGATTTTATGTATTCCATTCATAAATCAAAAAAACATATTATTATAATTAATGAATCCCATAATGCAAGATAGAGCTCTTAAAAACTAAAAATCTAAAATAATTAAAATTAAATATTGAACATTAAGTAATTTAACTGACAAAAAATAACATAATGGAAGGATTAGATGATAAGGTTGTGACTCTCCTAGCAAGCATATCACATTCATAAACAGATGGAAATAAAAGAGAGAATAAATGTAGGAGTTTCAATAACTGACTAATGGAAGTTCTGAAAAGAGAAAACAATGACATCTTGAGTAAATCATACAAGGCACTATCCTATAGCTGATAGGGGCTAAAAATCATGAAATTCAAAGAATCTACCAAGTACTAAACTAGATGAGTGAAAAATATTGACATTTATACGTATCTTATGAAATGAGAAAATACCAAACTGAAGTTTCAAAAAGTTTCTACAGAGAAAAAAATTGGAAAAAATTAGTAGTCGATGCTAGAAGACACAGAGCAATACTTTCGAAGTTTTGAAGGAATAATGATATTGAACTTGCAGTTCCCTAACAAACTAAATGACCAATTAACAATTTATATAATAGGAAGTCATGAGATACAGCCTAAAGTTGATGGGCCAAGATATACAAGTTTAGATATTATTTAAATCTATAAAGATAGCTAACAGAACAACTTGTAAAACTGCCTGGCAGAAAATATTCAAGGAGAGTATATGTCGAACAGGTTAATTTCAATTTATCATATCCCATGCAAGTTATTAATAAAAGTTACATTTGATGGATAATGATGCAAAGAGTTAAAAACAGGAATAATTTACTGTGGGAACTGAGACTAATGGTGAGGAGTAAAGAGAGACTTAAATAGATTTCTCTTTCTTAATATATTTTTTGCCTGCTAAAATGTTTGAATTGTATTAACATTTACTTGAATTGCTATTATCACTATGATAGCATGTTACAAAAGATGGTCACTATCAATTCCTTCCCTCCCTGTAATGCATGCCACTCCTCCACAAAGAGGTAGGATATACTCCTCTACCTCCCTGAATCTGTTAAGTTCTAGGTAATTTTACAGTAAACTTCTTTCCTGTAGACATCCTTGTTGCAAGCAAGTATTGCCACCACAAATATTTTTGCCACATTACTAATTAGCTCTTAATAACCAATTTTCTATTGTAAAGATACAATAACAAAAGATAAAAGGGGAACATCAAACAATGAAAAATTTAATGAATTGAACTATGAATCCCTTTCTTCATTAAGAGAGGTATCAATTTTCCTAATAACTTGGATGCATATTTATAACTGAGCTTTGTATTGCATTGTGAAAGCCTTCTATACTGTTGTTTATTCTTGCCATATTGTCACATGTCTGTTGACAGACATTCCAAAGTTCTATAAGAAACATGGAAGAAATGCTAATGCTGTAACATATTTGTAACTGAGCTTTGTTATTATTGTAACTGATATGTTATCATTTTCTGGTGTATTATAGTATACAATCTGGCTTTACACTTTCTTATTCTATATTTTCTATAAGGTCAATATATGTCACTGTTATCATCCAGTATTTTAAGACCAGCACATCTGCTTGTCACTATATATACCAGGATGAGGGCTACTTAAGATTCTTATAATAAAAATGGGAACTCTGCCAAGGGAGAACTGAAACCAAACTGTCAACCAGTTATTTTATCTTTTATGGCAAAATTGCCTTACAGCCAATTAGTTATTTGGCAAAAATATTTGTAGTGAAAATGCCTGCAGCAAATAGGTCTATGACAAAAATTCTTACAGCAAAAATACCAGATTTGATCTTTGTCTACTTAGGCCAATAGAACATATTGGAAAGGACGTTGTGCTAATTCTAGGCCTAGCCTTTAAGAGAACTCGTAGTTTCTACTTCTAGTTTCTTGGATTCTTGAAACAAATGTAACAATCTGTCTAGTCTACTATGCAGAAAGAGTCCACAGGCCACATTAAGGCAGCAGACATGCTAGTGAAAATGCCACCCTGAATGTCCAGCCCAAATGAGCTTCCAGGTCACTCCAGCTCTATTTGCCAACTACAACTACATGAGAGACTCCAAGAAAAAAAAAACACCCACTTGCATGCAGTCAACCCACAGAATCATGAGAAGTGAGAGTCACTTTTTGCTTTAAGTCACCAAGTTTTGGGTGGTTTATTATGCAGCAATATATAGTAAAGCTAGACATAATAGTGACACCGATCATAATTTTATGTTATTGAGGTACAAAGATGGCAAACTAAACTCATATGTATAATATCTACTCTTTCTGTTTCTTGCTAAAATAGCCCACCAAAAAAATGATACTGAAGCTTAGTACTACTTTTGGATACTAGAAAGTAGTCCTATTTATATTTATGAAATGTTAGATGATTTAATGGGAAACAGTGCAAGTGAGAAAGATACTGATGTGGAAAACCTCCTAATAGCTACTTATACTCAAGGAGAAGTCTAAGAGAAGTTAGTGTAGTGTGAAGCTAAAAGCTAATTTGAAACCATTCTAAGTCTTTGACCAACTCCTTGCCCACAGTTTTGATCTGAACATTTGTGTTCCTCCCAAATGCAAATGTTAAAATCCTGTGCTTGCTTCAGCAGCACATATACTAAAATTGGAAAGATACAGAGAAGATTAGCATGGCCCCTGTGCAAATGTTGAAATCTTAACTCCTAACATAATGATATTAGGAGATAGGGCCTTTGAGAAGTAATTAGGTCATGAGAGTAGAGCCCCCATGAATAGGATTAATGTTCTTATAAGGGAGACATAGAGGCACCCAGAGGTCTCAGTAAGTATGGCATGCAATTTTTGATCGCAGGGTTGTTAAGTTTGCGCCTCCACGTTGAGCGTAGAGATTACATAAAAGTAAAATCTGTTAAAATAAAAAAATAGAAGAAGAAAAAGAAGAAAATACACAGACACAAGATCCATATCTCTCCCTCATTCCCTCCCATCCTCTCTGCTCTCTACCATATGAGGGATACAACAGAAAGACAGAAATCTGCAAAACAGGAAGAATGACCTCACCAGACAGTGGATCTGCTAGCATCTTGATTTTGGACTTCCCACCCTCCAGAACTGTGAGACTAAATTTCTGCTGTTTAAGCCGTTAAGTCTATGGTATTCTGTTATAACAGCCAAAGCACTGCCATAGTTAAAATGTACTAAAATTTTTTTGTTTAAGATAAAATTATAGATACAGTTTTGTTCTTAACATTAATAAAAGAAAAAAACATTTAAGATTTTAAATATTCAAAGTAAACCATAAGAATACACCTAGGATCCATAAATTTTAAGACATTCAAAGAAATGAAAAGAATAAATAACAATCAGTACAGCAAAATATAGGAAAACAGAAGCATGAAAACATAAACATAAAAGTAACTTGATAAAAACTAATGTCAAATATAGTAGTAAGCACTCCAAATATGAATGAGTTAATTTTCCTATTAAAGAATAGATGGAATAGTATATAATCAGTGAAATGGATATTATACAGGGCAACCAGGGTGGCTCAATAGGTTAAAAATCCCACTCTTGGTTTTGGTTCAGGTCATGATCTCACAGTACCTCTCCTGCTCATGCTCTCTTTCTCTCCCTTTCTAAATAAATAAATATTAAAAAAAAAAAAAAGGAATGGATACTACAGATATTATAGAGCTATATTTAAAAATATGGAAAGGTCAGGGGTATCTGGGTGACTCTGTTGGTTTAGCATCCAGTTCTTGATTTTGGCTCAGATCATGATCTCATGGTTTGTGGGTTCAATCCCCACATCAGGCTCTGTGCTGAGATTCTCTCTCTCCATCTTTCTTCCCCTCTTCTGCTCATGCTCCCTTGCTCTCTTTCTCTCTCAAAATAAATAAATAAGGCTTAAAATAATTTTAAAAATATGGAAAGGTCAACCTGACATATTTTTGGGTGGAAAAAATCAGTTTACAAATAGGATACAGAATATAGTCCCACTTGACTAAAGTTAAGAACTGTGTGTGTACCCATATAAATTATCCAGAAAATATTTTTATATCTAGAGATGGAATTTTTATATTTTGTTTTTATATTTTATATTTTGTTTTCTACTCTATTTTTATTATTGATTTACTGTTTCATGGTAAATACATCTTAATATAATTTTTAAAAGACTATTACAATGGATCAAAGAAAAAATTCAAATAATGTGCTAGTTATAAAATAAAATACAATAAAAAAATCAAAATTGATGAAAGTAAAGGAACAGGTCAAACTGTCCTAGACAAATTTAATTAAAAAGAAAATAGTCAATATTAATATTATGTAGAACTTAATATAAAACATTAAAAGAGTGGCAAGAAAGTAAACAATAAACAAAAGTAAATGAGAGGAATTAATATGAAAACAAACTAATTTATTAGAAGACAAAAAAGAAATGAGATTTAAAGAGGCAAAGTGATAAATAAAGCCCAACCATTTGGCAATTCTCTTCAGAGAGAGAAAACAAAAACATTTCTTAATGAACTGCATGGAAGCAGGACCCTGCCTGCCTTGGTAACAGTTGTGTCTTGATGCCTAGAAGAGTGCCTGGCGTACAGCCTCAACTCACTATTAGCCAGGAATGAGAATAAATTCTGGGTTGGAGATGATTTAGAGAGTAATAAAAAGCATAAAAATCAAGCAAATAACATTAAAAGACTGAAGAAAATAAAAATTACTAGAATCCACTTGGTATAAAGAAAAAGAAAATTAGAAAAACAAAGATAAAAAGATTTTTTAAACTATTAAAGAAACAGAAAAGATGCCAGGCCCTGTCAGTTTTATAGGCACGTTCCATTAAAACATCAGGAGAAAAATTATCTAAGCTACTCCAGAACTCAGAAGAAGACATAGAGACGTTCCTATTTCATTTTTTAAGTCTTATATAACCATCACAAAAATAATGCACATCATTACTAATAGAAGACTCATGAATATAGATGCATAAATTCTAAACACTATATTAGCAAATTTATCCCATCAGTATATTAAAAGAAAAATGTACCATAACTAAGTAGATTTATTTCAAAATGCAAGAACAGTTTAACATTAGACATTCTATTAATGCAATATTAATAGGTTAAAGGAAAAACATATTAGTAAATGTCAAAATATGATTGATAAAATAAGCTAAAATTCTAAAAAAACACTAGGATACTGCTTTAACTCTATGAAAAAGGAATTAGAAATCAACAATAAAATTCACATTAAATCATAAAAAATTAAAGGTACCCCATTAGAAAGAGAGAGAAATAAAAAGATCTGTTCAAGTTTATTTTCTAGTTAAGACAATAAAAAAATGAAATGAAGTATGAATTACTGGAAAGAACATCATTTGAAATGTTTTTATCGTTACAGAAAAACAAGTAGCCTTGAACAATAGAGAATGTATTGTCCTACATGACAGAGAAGTCCAGGGGAGGTGGATATTTAAGAAAAGCAAATATTAACATCAGAATCAAGGAAGGTGATGCACCTGTGTTAGATGAAGGAGATAATGAGATTGGTAGGTGGTGGGATAGCACCAAAATGGTTCAACCAGAGGAGGAAGCGAGAAATGCAAGCGGGAGGACTAGGGGAAAGGACCTTGTGGGTTCATTCTATGCCTTCACCTAATCACTGAACTCACCTCTGATTGCTAACACTCAAATAAATCTTGCCTTCTGTTGACCTACCTTGTAGCTTCTCAGTCCTGGAAGATGAAACAGCCAGTTTTTAAAGACCTGAGTTCAAATCATGACTGCTACTTACTAATGCTGTGACCTTGGGTAAATTAATTGACAGACTGATGTTTCAGTGTCTGCAGGTATAAGATTCCAGGGATATCAACCATTTATAACTCATATGGGCTGTTATAAAATATAAATGAAGTAACTAATACTTGGCATTTAGTTAAAACACACTCAGAATCATTCGCCAGACCCAATTGCAGGGCCTGTGATGCTAATTCTTTACAGGAAAAACTACCTGAATGAAAGATAAACGCAAATTTCCAGGTATCAGGTAAAGCAACTGGGGATATCCTATTATGAGAGCTAGAATAAAAACAGTAGAGAAACACAGGAAAAGAGAAAGTCAACAGTGAAAGAGCCATTCAAATGAAAAAGGCTTTTGGGAGCAACAATCAATCGGAAACTCTGGATTAAGACACATGTAACATCTCCTATGGGTTGTAATATGTTAAACCCCTGAATCCTCACTTCAAGGAAATCTATGTGCTCTTCATCAAGGCTTCTGGAGTTACACTGCAAGTGATTTAAAATGAAACAATTGACAGGTTGACCTCTGTGGTACCCTAGGTTTCTGGGGAGGTTAAAGGAAGTTCTCACAGTGTAAAGCCTTTATAATTATGTTTATGCTAGTTTTCATGAATACACATATATTTACATATTCATGAAAACTATATCCAGATGGGGATATGTTTTTGTACTTACTAATTTACAGATTCACCAAACTACTAGGAAGCTCCTTCTTCCATGTTTGAATCTTGTCCTTCTTTGATCTGTCAGTCTTTCCTTACAGCCTTCTCTAAGCCTCAGCCAGCTCTGGTCCTGCTTCTCTCCATCTAAAGTTAACCAGGATCTTTTATAAGAAAGACTGAGCAGAGCCCTGTGGTCACTACTTCCAGGGCCCAAATCTAATGACCCTTTTGAGTAATCTGACCCTGTAGCAGCAAACCTCTGACAAGAATAAGAAAACAGAAATATGTCCACAACACAGAGCTAAAAAATGCAAATGGTATAGGAAATTATCAAAACAGTACGAGATAAAGTATTCTTTGGTGGCCAGGAAATCAGAGGCAAGAACTATAGGGGACATGATGGAAGAGGCAAAGTAACATCTACATATTAAAAAAAGAGTGAAGAAATGAATGAGTCTCTAATTCCACCCTGGGGGTTCTGGTGACAAACCACTCAGATTCTGACTTCATGGTACATGTCACCGCCAGCACCCCTCAGTGGAATTATAGCCTTGCATTACAGGGTAGCTTGTCTGTTATTATGCTCAGAAGAGTTTAGAAAATATGCCCAGTGTTGTTGAAATGAGAAGCGAAAGCAGCCAGGCATAGCTTGCAATCAAGTTCTTCCTGAAAATGTTCCAGGAGAGATTTGATGGGCTGAAGTGGCTGCCACATGGCCTTGTTGGGAGGCTATGTTCAAAGAAATTCATCTTCCATCAGGTTTCTTCTATTCTTCATTGGCCTCACAGATGTGATAGCCTCTAACTCCCTACCACTAAGCCACGGGCATTAATGACCAACCCCACAGTAATGGCAGAAACCCTAGAGGCAAACTAAACTAACACAGTTGGACCCAAAGTTCTTGTGAAATGCATGCCACAAAAGCCCACATGCTTTAAGAATTATGGAACAAAGTAAGGTGGGTAATGGGAGAGCTGTAGGGAATGCAAGGAAATTAAGGCTAAAACTCATACACACCAAGTTTAAGAATCTTTTAGGAAGGTTTTCTAAGGGCATGGAAAGTTCCACAATCCCAGATGTTCTCTTGTCTGGAATCACCTAAGAATGAGAACAGCTATAATCATAGGTCTCTCTTTTTCACTTAATTTCAGTGAGCATTTATTGAGCAGTAAATGAGAGGACTCTCTAGACACTGTCCAGTAGAATGTGTAACCAAATAAATTTTTACTGTTTACAAGTGGAGAGGTATAAGACC